CTGCCCTGCCCTGCCCTGCCCAGGCCCACCACCCCGCCCTGCCCTGCCCTGCCCTGCAGTCCCTGCTGCTGGGCATTGGTTGCAGAGCAGCGTGTCCTTGTCCAATCCCTGTGGCCAGGCTTCTCATTGCTGGGAGGACTGACTCCTCCTTTGCCCCATAGGGCTGGGGTGAGGTGGGTACTGTCTGCGGGGCTGAGGGGGAAACCCAGGGCCCCAAGCATGCTGGGCAAGTGTGCTCTCCCGCAGCTGCACCCGTCAGTTGGGAGGAGATGTAAGAGCCTGTCCTGGGGCTTGAACTCCATCTCTCATGCTTGCTTGGCTTTTTTCTCTCAAGGGTGTCTCTGCCACATAAGCCACAGCTCTGTTTCCAGCATTTTTGGTGGTTAATTAGAAATAAGAGTCTCACGGACTTTCCTGCCCGGGTCGGCTTTGAACCATGATCCTCGGATCTCAGCCTTCTGAGTAGCTAAGATGACAGGCGTGAGCCAAGGTCTCAACCAAGTGGCAAGGCCCAGGGTTCCATTCCCCAGCAGCCTCAGGCTGGCCTTGAACTACACATCCTCCTGCCTCAGCCCTCCATACTGGGGTCATAAGTTGTCCCCGCCTCCCCTGGCACCCAGCACCGTGGGCGGGGTGCACTGGGCATAGATGAAGTCCACGCTTCCCTGCTCACGACCCCTTTTCTCCCTCTCTGCTGCAGACGTGAAGTTCATCTCCAATCCACCCTCCATGGTGGCCGCCGGGAGTGTGGTGGCAGCGATGCAGGGCCTGTACCTGGGCAGCCCCAACACCTTCCTGTCCTGTTACCGCATGACACACTTCCTCTCCAGGCTGATCAAGTGTGACCCTGTGAGTGGGGGCGGGGCGGCCGCCTGGGGTGCGGGCGGCCATGGGATCCAACTGCGCTGGCTCCTCGGACCCCCCCCCCAGGGCCTCTGGGACCTGGCATTGGTGAGCTGGGGCCCAAGATCCAGACATTCAACCCCAAAGACGCCTCTTGGTGCTCAACTTATTGTTGTCATTTTATTCTCAGCTCTTGTAAAGAACTCAAATAAGCCAGGTGCCGGTGGCTCACGCCTGTCATCCCAGCTACTCGGGAGGCTGAGATCTGAGGATCGGGGTCCAAAGCCAGCTGGGACGGGAAAGTCCATGAAATCCTCACTTCCAATTAGCTATCAAAAAAGGCAAAAGTAGAGCTATAGCTAGCTCACGGGTAGAGCACCAGCCTTGAGCAAAAGAAGTTTAGGGACAACAGACCCTGCACAGCTGTAGATACACACAGCTATGTATCTGTGCTTTTGTTTTTGTTTATTTGGTGACAGTACTGGGGTTTAAACTCAGGACTCTGCTCTTTCTGGGTAGGTACTCAATGCTGCTTGAGCCACACTTCCAGCCACTTTGCTTTGAGTTCTTTTTGATGTTTTTTATCCAGATCCTGGTGCTTGAACTCCACCTGGGCACTGTCTCGAAGCTTTCTTTTTTTGCTGAAGGCTGTGTTCTACTTGGATCACAGCTCTAGGTCTGGCTTTTTGGTGGTTAGCTGGAAATAGAGTCTCACAGACTTTCCTGCTCAATCTGGTCTTGAACTGCCATCCTCAGATCTCTCTCGGCCTCCTGAGTGGCTAGGATTAGAGGTATGAGGCATTGGTGTCCAGCTGAGGTACTCACTGGGGGTAGCTGGCAGCCCCGGAGGACAAGGCAGGAAGTCCTGAATTGGGCCCCAGCTTGTACTTATAACAGAGGACTCTAGAGTGGCTCAGAGCTGCCATTCCCTGGGACTCCTAAGAGCTGTGGGTAGAGTTCATGGACAGCCTGAGGCGGTCATTTTTGCCAACCCTGCCTAAGGACTACTTACAGCTTGAGTCCTTGAGTTCCCCAGCCCATCCATGTGCATACTGCTGCTTGGGGGCGGGGCCCACAGGCCAGGGCCCCTGGGGAACCAGTTTGAGGCAGCTCACAAATCTTCCTCCAGGATTTAGAGCGGCCTCAGAAAGGCTGGTGCGGCCTTGCTCCTTACCAGAAAAATACCCAGGCAGCTGCCCATGTCTCATTCCTGTATTCCTAGATGTTCAGGAGGATGAGATGTGAGCATGGTGGGTTTTTTTGTTTTTGTTGGTCATGGGCCTGAACTGTGGGCCTGGGCGCTGTCCCTCAGCTCTTCAGCTCAAGGCTGGCCTGAACTCTGGGCCTGGGTGCTGTCCCTCAGCTCTCCAGCTCAAGGAAACGCTCTACTACTTGGGCCACAGCACCACTTCTAATTGAGATAAAAATCTCACAGACTTTCCTGCCCAGGCTGGCTTTGAACCGTGATCCTCAGATCTCAGCCTCCTGAGTGGCTGGGATGACTGGCGTGAGCCACTGGCACCCAGTAAGGATGGTGGTTTGAAGCTGGGCCAATCAAGAAAGTCAGTTCAGGTGTTGGTGGTGACACCTGGCGGTGGTAGGGGCTTTTGCTGAGATTCCTCCCCCCCCCCTCCCCCCCAGGACTGCCTCCGTGCCTGCCAGGAGCAGATCGAGGCGCTGCTGGAAGCCAGCCTGCGCCAAGCCCAGCAGAACCTGGACCCCAAGGCCTCGGAGGAGGAGGAGGTGGAGGAGGAGGAGGTGGATCTGTCCTGCACACCCACCGATGTGCGCGACGTGGACGTCTGAGGGCCCCACTGGGGCCGCCGAGCCGGGAGCCGCCCTGGGGCTCCTGACCGTCCCTCACAGGACATTTCGCTACACCAGAAAGGAGCGGTTCAATCTCCTTGCTGGTTTGGGTTTTTTGTTTTTGTTTTCTTCTGTATTCTTTGTCTTTTCTGTCTCTGACTTAAGCAAAAGGAAAAAAATTCCCTGAAAATGGTCTTTTAGAGGGAGAGAAAGAGAGAAATAGAATTTGCATAGCCCTCAGTGGCTTGTACTATATAGAGGATTTTTCTAGGCTGGTAATGAACTAGTTTTCTCTCGGTGTTGTTTGAGTTTTAAGAATAGTTGTTAACACACAAGATGTCTCTAGGGAAGACTAGAGTTGATTTGTGTGTGTGTGTTTGTGTTCAGGGGAAAAAAAGCATAAAAGACATTTTAAAAAGAAAAAAAACGCAAGAAACCTTTTTTTCTTCTTTTAAGTAGAGGAGGCTTTAGGTAGAGAAATGTATTCTGCTTTCCTGAGGAGTTGTCTTCCACACGGCCCTCGTCTCTACCTGCCCGCTCACGTAGCCAGTCACTAAGCAAGCGTCCTAGGCATAGTCTAGTAGAGGCGACCTCTTTGCCTGGTCCACGGCTGGTTGGTCTCTGTCCGGGTGACCTGTGATACCCCCGGGTACCAACCAGTGTCCTAGTGGTAGTGGGAAAAGCCATCTTACTCGGCCAGCCAGCACGCTCCGGCCGAGGCAGGCAGCAAGAGGGACAGAATATATTCTATTTTTATAATCTCGCTATTTTTGTAGTCACCCTGTTGATGAGATGCTGGTTCCCCCTCCCTCCCCCATCCCGTCCCCCACGGCCCTGGAGCCTGCCTACATCAGGTTAAACCCACAGCTACTTTTGTGTTGTTACTCCTTTTGTATGTTTTCCCTCCTGGGTATTCTAAAACCATTCCGTGTCAGAGCACTTTGGTCCGGTGGTGGGAGGCAGAATGGGATCTGCCACCTTGGCGGCAGGGGGCAGTGTTTGAATGGGATGGTTTGGGAATACAATCCTGCTTGTGCAGACGGGGCTGCACCCTGAGTTCGAGTCACTGTGCTGTTAGCCAGGGGTGGGAAGCTGTCTTGAAAGTCAGGAGAAAGTCCTTTTGTGTTGTGTAGAGAAGTTCAAGTCATAGGAGTCTTGGTGCCAGCTGGAGTTTGGAAGTAGGGACCTGGAAGGTACGTAGATACCCAGTAGTTTAAGGTTTACCTTTAGATGTTTCATGACAGAAGGTTTTTAAACACTAAAATATATAATTTATAGTTAAGGCTAAAAAGAATATTTATTGGAGACGATGTTGATAAGGCCAGTATGATTTATAAAGTAATGCAATCTCCCCCTGAGTTTAGACACACAGACTTTTTTGCCCCCAAAGTTTTAGAACTGTTTACAAAAGATTGATCCTTTTATAAGTAAAAGGTTTCAAGGAAAACCATGCCAGAAAATGACAGATTTGGCCTGCTTGGAATTCCCCCCAAAGTGGTTTGATCCAAGCATCAAGGAAATTAGGGTTCAGTTCTAGCACATTCTGCCCTCTCTGAAAAGAAAGATATATATATATATATTAGTGACAGGTAGATAATTTGCACATCTTGGCTCTTACCTTTTATTTGAGGGTGTGGAAGGGAGGTGTGGAGGGCTTGAGGCTGAGGCTGAGGGGATGGGGGAGCGAGGGAGGGAGGAAGGACCGTCTTGAGGGGACGAGGGACAGGCTGTGGCTCCGTCTTAACTTCGCTGCTACCGATGAATTCCTGCCCGGTTCGGAAGCAGATTTGCATAGCTTCTCTGAATCATCTTTCACGTTGTTTTGCTGCTATTGGAGGATCGGTTTGTTTCTGTTTTGTTTTGTTTTACGATGTCATATACTGCCATGTTCTCGTTTTGATTTCCTCATAGAAAATTGTATTGCATATGCCCTTTTTGTAGGTTTTTTAATGTGATCAGTTTTGACTTAATATGATTACTGCTCTATTCCAAAAACAAAAACAAAAAAAAGGTCTGTTCACAATACCTCATGCTTTCTTTAGCTATTGTGCAGGTCCAGTGGTCAGACTCTGTCTGGTCCTACAGACAGACACACGGACGGGATCCCAAACAGGCGCGCTGAGGCCTGGGAGGCCACGCAGCCCGGGCGCTGGGCTGGGCCCTGCTGGGCCCTCCCTCCGTCTGAGCTGGGGCGTACCATCAGTAGTTGGGACAGCTGTATCATTCTGTATGTGTAGTTATGAACATTGCATTATTATTATATTATTATTATTATTTTAACAAGTCAGTCTATGTGCCGGCGTGGTGCTGAGCCCCAGGACGCCGTCCTTCGGGGTGATAGAAATCGCTTCTGGAACTTGTTCAAGTGTTGGGTGGTTTCATCTGTTGTTTCGGACTCCTGTTCTGTCGGTTGATACTTTGTACATTACGATCTCAATGCCAGGTGCTCATGGGTCCCCTTTAGCCAGCTGCCCAGTCAACTGTGACTGCTGGTGCCCTGCTGGGGGTCAGGCTGCGCCCACAGGACGGTGCCTTCCCACCCCTCAGCTTACCTCAACCACCCTGCCTGGGCATCCCTCTCAGGCCTGGGGGGAGGGGTCGGTCCTCAGCGACAGACGGACACAGGCAGAAGCCTTGGATGCCGTGTGTGCCCAAAGGCCAAAGGCTGGTGGCAGGTCCACAGGGCACACAGAGTCGGTCCTGCGGCACGCCGGGCTGTGAGCGTCCAGTGGGGGGGGACGGGTGGCAGTTTGGGGTCTGTGTGTTCCTGACAGACAGCAGGGCACTTCTCAGCACAGACATGTAACCGGCACGTTTCCAGCAGAAAACAAAGGACAAATGTGGAAAGTCTAGAATAAAATCGATAAAATCCCACTGTGGCGTCTTAGTTGTTTTTTTTTTTTGGGGGGGGGGGGGGGCTGATGGGACGACAGAAGAGGCTGGAGGGACTGCCACCTGTCCACTGGGCTGTCCCAGAGCTCATCCTAAGGAGACACTGCAGGTACATCTCCTAGTGTTTGGGGGGGCAGGGAAAAGGTACCAGGGGCTGCCCCCCAGGTGGGTAGGAGCCTGTGGGTTGCTTTTGCTGCCAGCCCAAGGGCAGGTAGCCGAGGGAGGACAACAGGGCCAAATGTGCGCTGGGCCTGGCGCCCGTGGGAGGCGGGCGGCCGCAGGGGGCCCCCTGAGTGGGCTGCTGTGTTTCACCACCAGCTAGAGGTGGAAGGGTCAGTGGTGTCCCTTCAACTTGGGGGCTGATGACTATTCATTCTGGAAGGTTCTCAGCTTGGTTAGGCGATATTCTGCTAGCCTTTACCAACCAGCTGTGCTTGGCACACTTAACAGCCCTGGATGTGGTATTAGGCCCCTGTTCTGATCAAGGGCAAAGCCAGAGTTGGCTGACCTGCCACCCCATCTTGTAACCCTTTTGTTGCCCGCTGCTTAGGCAGGATGGCTGCGCAGTGACTGTCTGATCTCTGCCCACCGCTGGCCATTCCAGCTCCGGGCCTGGCCTGCCTTTCCTCCCTCAGTTCTGGCACCCTGGCCACCAGCTGGAGGCTGGTGACCGCAGACCGCCCAGGCTCCCACTCCAGGTCGCCTGAGTGCGGGAGCTACCCTGGCTCCTCTGGAGGGTGAAGATGCCTCCCGCTCCGGCCCAGCTGCCTTGTTTTCCCAGGCCTCGCCCTCCAGGGTCTCAGGTCCCTGTGTGTGGGAGTGGGGGGCGGGGAGAGTGTGCGGGAGGTGGACAGTAGCACTGCCCAGAGCAGCACCCATGAGGACAGCTGGGGCATGGGCCTGTGGGGTGTGGGAGGGGTGGAGTGTGTCTGTGCCCACAGGAGGGGCAGAGTGCCCCCCCATGCTGCCCAACCTCTCCCCTGGGGCCTCCCTGTCACCCCAGGAATGCCTTTGATCTGGGGAAGGCAGCCTGGACCTCTAATCCCTTCCCACAGCCCCCTGGCCCGCCCGCAGGCCCCGCCGCCCGCCGCACCGCAGGGCAGACAATAGCAGCTTGGGCCACGGGCCTTGGGGCCTGCATCCGGGGCCATTGTCACTGCCACTCACGGGGGCACACAAGGAGGACCGGCCTCAGTGGGCCTCCAGCCCTTCAAAGGCAGTGGCATCCATTAATCCTTCTGTCACCTGGTGACAGCTGAGCCAGCTGTCAGTCTGCAGCCACTTCAGAGCTGGCCACAGAAGCAGGCCCTGGGCGGGGGCCCACGCAGCGAAGACCCCGGCCCAGGGCGAGGGGCAGCCTTTGTTCCTTCTCAGCTTTCCTGGAGAACATGCCCCTAGCAGCCTCTGCTCGTGAGACACCCGGCAGGCAGCGAGGACCCCACCCAACTCCTGCCAGGGGTCGGGACTTCTTTATCCTTACCAGGCGGCTCCAAGTGGTTGGTCCCTCCGCAGGGACAGCGACGCAGCCATGGGCACACCCGCCCTGTCCCCAGAGCCATTTAAACCCACGGCCCGGGCTGGGCTGAAGCGCTGTCCACAGTGCCGCGTCCCCACCCATCACCAGGTCTCTATTTGGTGAACGAAACAAATAACTCCTGGGGTTCGGAGCTGGGGTCCAGACACCAGCTCCCTACCGGTAGGGAGGCGGGGAGGCTGAGGCTAACGGCTCCCCGCCCTGGCTCCCCAAGCTGGCCTGTGGGTCCTCCATCTTCTGAGGCCTCCCCTGACAGGTAGCAGGGGAAACACCCACTCTGCCCTCTGGAGCCAGACAAGGATTGTTCAGGCTTTGTTGTATTTTGGTGAGAGCAGCCAGACAGTGAAATAAATGCACAAGAGAGGCTGTGTGCCCATAAAGCTTTATTTATAAAAATGGGCAAAAAGCTGGGTATCGGTGGCTCACACCCGTCATCATCTAGCTACTCAGCAAGCTGAGATCTTAAGATCATAGCTCAAAGCCAGCCCAGGCAGAAAGGTGCATGAGACCCTCATCTCCAATAAGCCAGCAAAACCCTGGAAGTGGAAGTGTGGGCTCAAGTAGAACAGCAGCCAAAGGACAGCTCAAGGACAGCACCCAGGCCCCAAGTTCAAGCCCCAACAGGAGCACACTCACACAGTAAAGGAGGGACTAACAGCATCGCAGCCCCAGGCACACTGCCAGCAAGGCCGAGTTGCGTCCCTGGGCACAAACACACGGCCAGCCTGACCCCCAGCTCGCAGGGGGCTGTGGCTGGGGAGGCAACTAAGGAGAATGGGGGTCACTCATCAGGTGGCCCTAATCGCACTTGGCTGGGTCCTTACAGGAGGACTCAGGCTCACAGGACGCAGGACAGACGCCATCTTCAAGCCAGGGTGGACTTGGCTTGGGAGAGGCCAGCTTGGGACCCCTGGATCCCAGCCTCAAACCTCCAGGGTATGTGAAGATGTCTTTCTGCCGTGGAAGCCACTCAGGGACGGCCCAGGGCACGCATCACCTACGGACGGTGCAGGCAGACTCACAAACACCTGGAAAAGAGGAGACCACCTGCATCCACAGTCCCTAAGAGCCAGCCTCTGCGGAGGCTGGGGATGGGAGGCCCATGGCGCCGCTCCAGCCAGGGAAGAAAGTCTGTGAGACTGCATCTCAATGAAGGAAGCTGGGCACGGCTGGTCGCACCTGTGATCCCGCCGTTTGGGATCAGAAAAGTTCCTGAGACTGGAATCCTAGCTACAGGGGAAGCTGGGATGGGAGGGCTGCAGTTCTGAGCCAGCCCCGGCAGCAAACTCCATAGAACTCCACCTCAACAGAGGGCAGCCAGGAGCAGCGGGCACCACCGACAGCTCAGCTAGGCCAGGACCCTGCACCCAGGCAGGAAGTGAGACCCTGTGCCAAAAACAATAGAGACATGCAGGACTGCAGGCAGGCATACTTACCTCAGAGATGGAGCACCTGCCCAGGAAGCACAAGGCTGAGTTCAAAAGCCCAGGACTGTCAGACAGGAAGGGACAGGGAAATAGCGAGGGAGCTGGGAAGACAGCACACAAAGGAAGCCAAACCCAACAGTCCTGGGCCAGGGGAGCGCTGAGTGGGCCCCAGGGCACTGGAACCCAGGGCGGGCCTGCGAGCAGGCTGGGGTGCAGCAGGCAGCTTCGTGGTGACTGCTTGTGTGACGGCGGCTGGGCGGCTGGGCAGGGGGCCGGCCACGATCTCAGGGCTGTCCTGTCTGGAAGGGGACTGCCCTCCTCTTAGGGTCACTATTTTTTGAAGTGCAAAGGGCTCAAGTGGTAGAGCCCTTTGCCTAGCAATCTCAAGGCCCTGGGCTCAAACCCCAGTATTGTCTAAAAAGTTGCACAAAGCAAAACAGCAAGAAAAAATACACTCAAATCAACAACGTGAGTTTGGTGCAGGTGGCTCATGGCTACATCCTACTCAGGGGGCAGAGAACTGAGGATCACGGTTCCAAGCCAGCTCAGGGCAAAGTTGTCCCTGTGAGACTTCTCTCTAACCACCAGAAAACCAGAGGCACTGTGGCTCAAAGTGCTAGCCTTGACCAAGAAGAGCTCAGGGACAGCACCCAGGACCTGAGTTCAAGTCCCACAGCTGACAAAAAAATGAAACAGGAACAACAAAAAAACATGATAGTACCCTGGAAGTGTAATCAGAAAGTGAGCATCTAGAGTCTATATTATACATATTAATATGATTATAATGTAGCCTTGGGAGGCTGAACTCTGAGGGTGAAGATTTGAAGCCAGCCTGGGCAGACAAATCCAAGACTCTTATCTCCAATAAACCTGCAAAAAGCTAGAAGTTGAGCTGTGGCTCAGAAAAAGCTAAGGCCTTGAGTTCAAGCCCCTCTGTGGGTGGACACGTGTGTGTGTGTGTGTGTGTGTATACACACACATAGAAGCACACATATACACATGTAAATACAACATGCATGGAAGTGTAGTTAAGATACATTTATATATCACATTAATATGTAAGTGTGTATATGACCACGTAGATGAATATGTGTTCATATATACTTCTGGCACTTTCTATCACACTGAGGATCAAATCAGGGCCTGCTGAGTCACTCCAAGCCTCGTGTGTGCGGGTGCCAAGGGCCACAGCTACAGCCAGGACCTGCCCACTCTGGGGGCTTCTGTGCTGGTGTGGGGTGTCTGCGCAAGGCCTCTTAGCTGGCGTGCACTGGGCTGGCACTCACTCTGGTCACTGTGTCTAACCCAGGACAGGCGCCAGACGCGGCGGCAGCGGTGGGATGAGCTGTGGGCCAGGGCGATGCCGGGGGAGCCCTCATCTGCACCCACACGACACAATACGAGGCTGCGGCCAGGCAAGGCAGGCGGTGGCTGGAGGTCACTGATGGCCCCAGACAGGTGTGTGTGCGAAAGTCTGTTTATTTTTTCCTCCAGTTAGAAAACACACTACGCACACTAGTAACAGAACACACAAGAACACGCCAAGGAAAGCGACAGCCAAGGGCCCCTGGACACGCACACAGGGCGTGTGGCCGGTGCTGGGGACCGGGGCACGCCACCCTCTCCTGGCTCTCTGTGAGGGTGGTCTGGGCCTGCGGGAGGGTGGTCTCCCGGCCCCCTGGACCCAGCTGCGGGCGTCCACCAAGATGTCCCGGAATCTTAAGAGCTGCTGAATTGGTGGCTCCCGCCGCTCACCCCGTGGGTCCCAGAGGCGGTGGGAAGGTCACGAGTTCCAGGTGTTCTCTCAGAACAGAGTGGGCACGTGCGTGCGCAGCGGTGGCCGGCCACCTCGACACTGTCCGACAGGAAACACGGGCTCAGAGGCCCCACTGATGGGCCTCGCTGCGGCCCCAGAGAGCTTCAGACCGCAGCGGCCCGAAGGCGAGGCCCACGGCCAGGATCTTTGCCCTGGCTGAGCCCCAGGCTGGGGCACACACGGGGTGTCATCCGCGCTGGCTGGACGAGGCTCGTGGTGGACCCTCAGGGGCAGCTGGGCTCCACCACGGGGCCCCCACGGGCCAGCCCTGCCGTCCATCTCATCCGTCCCAGGCAACAGTCCCTTCTCCCCTTGTGTGCGGGAGGCTGGACACACTCACTGCTGTGCCAGTGGCCATGCACTGACCTCGCCCTTTCCCCCCAACAGTGCTTCCCTGAGTAAGGCCTGGTCTCAGCTAGGGGCCAGCTGAAGCTCCAGCTCTAGACAGACCCCAGCAGCCCACAGAGGGCAGGGAGGGGGCGTGGCCATCTCGGTGACCCAGGCAAAAGCTCAGGGAAGGAGGCCGGGCGGGGACCCTGGCCGCTTTGTTTGCCTTTAATCACGTCTGCGAACGCAGAACACACAGACATCTGTCCCTTGAGATTTCTTTTCTGCTCATCTGTCATTCTCAAAATGAAAGTCCAGAACCTTCCGTGGTGATTTTAAAGTCAGGCTGAACGTTGAGCAAGGAACAAAGCTGGAAAGAAAAGGTGGTTGAAACTCACTTCTACTGTCCGCCTTACACGCGTCCCCTCCCCACCCTCCCCTCCACGCTGCCCCAGGCTGTCCTGGGCTGTCCCGCTCAGGAGCAGTCTGTGAGGCAGGCAGAGCCTGACAGTCACCAAGCAAAGGGAGCCCGAGACAGCCCCGGAGCACAGGCTCCAGTGGCCGGCAGCAGCAGCGGACGAACCTGTTTAAATTTCCCCCGGATGCTGTCCAAGTCCTCGTGCAGTTTATCGTACGTGGCATCCTCATAGGGAAAATTCTCTATCATTCCAATCAAGGCCTCCGCCACCTTTACCTTCCTGCTGCAAACAGAGACAGCCTTCCTCCTACACCGCACCTCCACCCCCACTCGCCCACAGACACGGGGGGCAGTACCTCCACCCACCTGTCCACACCTCCGTGGACAGGAACCACCCAGTTAGAAGCCCAAAATCCAGCCCTTGAGTTAAATGATACATGTTTATGTAGCTACACGCGCAGACCTGGCCCACCCACGGCCTTCAATGCCGGCCTCCACTGCGCCATCAGACTTGGACCACAGGCCAGGCTCTGCCTGGAGTGTGTCAGCGGGGAGCACGCATGCTCACAGCCTCAGGCTCAGCTACAGGGGACCTGGCCTCTCCCCACCAGGGTAGCACTGTCCTGGGGCCCAAGGCCAGGCCCCTCTGGGAGCAAGATGAGCGTTGCAGAAAGGCGCACACAGGAGAGGCGCACAGCACCCCTGCTCCAGCACAGGCGGTGACCAAGCCCCGGATCTGGGGGCAAACCAGCTCTCAAACCACCCCACCTCCCCTTCCCTGAAAGTCAACTGAGGAAGGCGGAGGGATGCGGGTGAATTCCTGAGGCTGATGGGGGACCTCAGGGCCCACTGCCGGGAGGCGCCGGGCCAGCCTGCCAGCACCATGTGCTGCTCAGAAGGGGCTCCCCAGGCATGGGGTGCCAGAGCCACATCCTACCCAGCACACAGGGCAGGTGACATGGGCAGACCCGGCGTTCCCCAGAGGCCTCCAGCCATGCAAATGTCACGTCGCGCTGTGACAGCGAACTGCTCCCTGGCATGTGGGGAGCCACACCCACACCAAACTTGTAGCTTCCAGTTCCACAGACCCACCCGGCTCTGAAGGCGGGTGGACTGAGCTAGGGAGCACCCACAAGAGGGCATCAGCCACTGAGTGCCTCCTCCGTCCCCCTGAGGGCTGGAGGGTGCTGGACACCCACTTGGCATGCTGGTGACGTGAGGAGAAGAGGGAGAAGTAACCGCGGCCCACGCCCTCCGCCCAGCACCCCACGGCCGCACACCTCCCAGCAGCACCCAGGTGGGAGACCCAGGCCCGGGAAGGAGGGGCAGCGCAGCCTCACCTGTCTCTCCCGGCACTGCCACTGTGTAAGAGACACTTCCACGCCAGAGCAAAGCCTTGGTAGCAACCAATCTGCAAGGTGAAATTACGCACAGGTCCACGAAGGAGCCCAGCTCCCTGTCCCCCACACCGAGTGCCCACCAGCCACGCTTCTCCTGCTCCTGAAGGGCCTGCTGAGCCCTGGCCACGGGGCCTTGAAAGCTGCCTTCAGCCCAACACCCTCCTGGGTGGCTGGAACTGCCCACAGGCTGGGGGGGGGGGAGCAGCAGCCCCTGAGTGAGGTCACTTCTGCCCTGCCTCTGGCGTCCCAGGTGGCCGCTGTCAGGCCAGTGCACCAGCCACAGGTGGCACCTATGATGACAACAGTGCTGGGGGCCCCACGGTGGAGCAGAAGCACCCTATCACGCAGCTCCAAACTGCTGAGCCCTGCAGCAGGGTGGGGACTCAGGGAAGCGGGGTTTGGTGGCCCACTCCCTCCACCTGTCACATGGGGTGCAGTATCAAGCATCTAATTGCCCACACAGGGTCTGGGGCAAAGGATAAGAACACCAGCGGAAACACAAGTGCTGGAATGAGGACTGGGGACAGCACATGACACCACTGGTGACCACGAGGCTCCCTCACCTCTGGCTGCTTGGCCCTCCTCTCTCCACTGCTACACCGCGGGTCAAGTCTTCGCGGCTCTCCAGTCTGTTTACTACATACAAAGGCTCACCATGTCTTTCTTTTTGTCTTATGCCAGTACTGGTACTTGAACGCTGGACTGGGACGCTATCCCTCAGCTTTACTGTTCAAGGCTGGCACTCCACCACTTGAACCACAACTCCACTGCCAACTTTTTGGTGGTTAATTGAAGACAAAAGTCTCACAGACTTTCCTGCCTGGGCTGGCTTTGAACTGTGATTCTCAGATCTCAGCTTCCTAAGTAGCTAGGATGTCAGCTGTGAAGCGCAAATGCCCAGCTTTGAAGATCTGTAGTGCTGGGACTTGATTTCCTGGCTCAATCCCACTGAACATCAAACTTAGTTATAAACTGCAGATGAAAGAGATTTCCTCCCCCTCCACCAAGTTGTCAGGGATGGCACCCAGGGCCTTGGCATATGCCTTGTTACTGAGCTACACCGTACACCGCCTGCCTTTGACACAGGGTCTCAGTACGCAGCCCAGGATGGCTTTTTTTTTTTTTTTTTTTTGGTCAGTCGTGGGGCTTGAACTCTAGGCTTGGGCACTAACCCTGCGTTTTTCAGCTCAAGGCAAGCACTCTACCAGTTGAGCCACAGTGCCACTTCCGGTTTTCGAGTGGTTTATTGGAGACAAGAGTCTCACAGACTTTCCTGCCCAAGCTGGCTTTGAACCGGGATCCTCAGGTCTCAGCCTCCTTGAGTAGCTAGGATTATAGTGTGAGCCACAGGTGCCCGGCCCCAGAATGACTTTGAACTTGCAATCAGACTACCTTTGCTGGTACTAAGACTTGAACTCAGGGCCTGGGCACTGTCCGAGATTTAGTGCAAAACTATAACCTT